TGCTACTTGGAAGAAAAACTATGACCAACATAGACATTGTATTAAAAAGCAGAGACATCACTTTGTGGACAAAAGTCCATATAGTCAAAGCTATAACTATAGCTTTGGAATTTCCAGTAGTGATGTATGGATGTGAGAGTTGGACTATAAAGAAAGCTGAGTGCTGAAGAACTGACGCTTTCAAATGGTGGTGCTGGAGAAGACTTTTGACAGTTCCTTGGACTGTAAGGGAATCAAACCAGTCAATCCTAAAGAAAATCAACCCTGAATATTCATTGGAAGGACTGATGCTGAAGCTGAAGCTGCAATACTCTGGCCACCTGTTGCCAAGACCCAACTCACTGGAAAAGACCATGATGCTGGGGAAGATTGAAGGCAGGAGGAGAAGCGGGAGACAGAGGATGAGATGGTTGGATGGAATCACTGACTCAATGAGTTTGAGCAAACTCCTGGAGATAGTGAAGGACAGGGAAGCCTGGTGTACTGCAGTCCATGGGGTTGCAAAGAGCCGGACACAACTTAGCAACTGAACAACAAACCAGGCACCACCGCACAGGAGGGCAGCTAACCCAGCACCTTCCTAAGGCTTTCCAGGTGAGAACCTCCCTACACAGTCACTTGGTGCATGCTGGGGTCTCCTATTCGCTGGATGGAAGTTCTATCCTTTTCCTTTCAACAAGTCTCTCCTTTGATCTGGTCTGTTTAAACAAATCCCTCCTTTTAAGCAAATCCCTCCTTTGATCTGGCCTAAATAGAGTCACAGAATAGCTGGGACCCATCTTGGAGAAGGGGCCTAGGTTTCTTCCCACTCCCTCAAATGACAGCAAAGATCATGGCCCTCCTGTAGACCAGCAAAGGTGTCTAGACCTCAGGAAGTACTCCATATACCTTCAAGAAACCAAAGGCAACACTTTCCAATTCCAGACCTATGCTTTTCAAACTATAAAGTGCAATTGAACCAACTGGAGATTTGGTTAAAATGGAGATTCTGATTCGGTAGGTGCGGGTGGGGCCTGAGAATCTCCATTTCTATCAACTCCTAGGTGAGGCTGATGCTGCTGATTTGTGGTCCACACTTTGAGTAGCAAGACATTAATCCGTTCCTCTCTTTTCTGACTGCTTTGCCTTTCTTAGGTTGTACAAGGCTCCTCTTGAGAAGCTGATGGAAGCTATTCTCCTTTTCCTTAGAAAAGCACCTCTCAGCACATACACACAGAACACTGCATAACATTTTCAGGCTTGCAGTCCATGGGTTAAAAAAACCCTTCTTTTGGACAAACCTTAGTTCTCATGGAAAAGAGGATATATATGTTAGAGGACAGACGGAAAAAAGTCCCAGCAGAGTTAGGAGTCCTGGGTCTGGTCCCAGCTCCATTATGGACTCCTGTGTAAAATCTGCTAAGCTTCTGTCCCCCTCTGAGCTTCAGTTTCCCCACCATGAGGGGACTGGACTAGACTGTGATGATAAATAGGTTTTTTCTTTTTTTGCCAACTCTGATAGCTGTTACCTAAAATATTCATTGTTAAGAATTCTTAGACTGTGTCTAGATTTGGCAGAAAGGGTGCTGTGATTGATTGGTGATGCCTGCCACAGTCCCAGGAGAGGTGGGGGGGGGGGGCCTTAATTGATTGGTAATGTTTGCCAAGGTCCGAGGCCTGGAGGGCTATGGGCTTCCTGCCAGGTAACTAGCCTACACTGGAGAGCCCCTTCCAGCTGCAACAATCCATAACTCATTTAGAGTCACCCCAGATTGGGGAAAGTGAGGTCTGTGCTTGTCCTCAAGGGGGCAGGAAGGGATAATTCTTTAAGCTGCTGGCTTCTCAACCTGCTCTCCTGCAGCCCCCTTTGAGAGGAGGTAGCAGAATTCTGGCTTCATGGCAGAGAAGGACAGTGTGTCCTTGGCTCCCATCTTTGGTTATTTTTAACTCCAAGGACAGAGACGCAAGCAGGAACTGAAATACAGAAGGGCTGCAGTGGGCCACCCAGCCTCCTGAGGGAGAGGAAGCCCCCACCCTCCCATCATCACCAAGTTGCTCCATCACTGGCCAAGTGAGAGTCAAGGCAAGCCGCCAAGGGACAGGGGAGCGTTCCTCGCCTCCCGTGTGAACTCTTCCATGGCCCTGCAGGCCACAGACCCTAGCCAGTTCCTACCGCACCACCACTGTGTCCTGTCCATTCATACATCCAGTGCTGGCCTTGCCCCAGTGCTGAGGACAGTGTCAAGCCAGAGAGATGGGGGTCCTTGTCCACTGTGCCCTCCAGTCTAGGGTGGAGGACAGAACAGGATGGCAGGACAGTTCGGTGGTTACAACTGCAGTAAGTGCTTGGAAGAGAGCATGGCTGTGGCCACCCCACCCCCACTCCCAGGCCCATGAGCTCTCAAGAGCCGAGATGTGCTTCATCTTCCTATGCCTAGAACCTGAGACTTAACCTGGCACGGAGGAGCGATTTATTGATTGCACATATTACATAGGTTTGTGATTCATCCAGCCCGGCATTTCACATGATGTTCTCTGCATGTGTTAAACAAGCAGGGTGACATGAATTTGAGCAAACTCCCGGAGAGAGTGGAGGACAGGGAAGCCTGGCATGCTGCAGTCCATGGGGTCACAAAAGAATCAGACACAACTTAGCGACCGAACAACGTTACATCGGTGACATCGCCTGGAGTTTGAGGATCCTACGGGTGCCTGTCTCAGACTAAATGAGATCCATTGGCTCATTCACTCTCTCACCAAGCATTTCTCTGAGCACCTTCTATATGTCAAGTACTGTTCTAGGCACTGGAGCTAAAGCAGGGAATAAAAATAAGGGAAACCATCTGTCCTCCTGAAGCTCCGATCCAGGAGAGGCAAGCGAACACCAAAGCCCACAAATACATGAAGACAGAGCGGGTGTCAGGAGGTGGTGTGTGGAGGGGTGAGTGTTTCAGCTTTAGACAGAGGTCAGGGGGTGGGGCTCCCCATGATACACGAAGCGGGTAAAGAAATGAGTCATGTGGCTATCTCAGGGGTAAGTGCTCCCAACACAGAGGACACAAACATACAGACCCCAGGGTGGACTTACATCTGGCAAACAAGGAGGCCAGAGCAGCCGGAGCAGAATGAGCGAGGGGAGTGGTTTGAGACGAAGTCTGAGATGATGCAGCAAGTGAGGAAGGACAGACTTGGGGAAACAGACATCAAGCGTGGCATACAGTGCATGACAACAATGGTGATGATGATGAAGACCACCATGATGTCGACGGTGATGATACAAGCAGCTGGCTTCTGCTGGGCATGTGCTGGGCGCTATGCTACCCGATTAACAGGGACTCGTATATTGAATTCTGTAATTGAAACTGCTCCGATATTACCCCATTTTACAGATGGAGAAGCTGAAGTTCAACAAGATTTATGCAGCTGAGAGGTGGCGGGGCTAGAACTGGAATGCTGGCCATCTGGGGCCAGAGTCTACTATCTTCTGATCAAACCAGCCCTGTTGCACAGACTCTGTGACTTACACTTTCCTTCCCTCCCTGAGTTCTTAAACCTTTGGACTCCTTTAAAAATCGTTTGAAAGCTGTGTATCTCCATTTAAAAAAAAAATTCTGGTTTTCTATAAGAAAAAAAAAAACACAGATGCACAACAACACAACTTGTACATGATTTCAAAAAATCAACGTGATGACTTCTGGCCCCCAAAGGAAACCCTTTACAAACATTTGTAGCAAAAGCAAGAATTGTCAGAGCTTTCCAAAGAGGCAGGAGGGGAACCTGGGTTCCTATAAGACTAGTTAAAAATACTACAGTTTGTCAAGAGTCTACCAGGAGTAAGGCACTTAGAGAGTTGTAGTTCATTTAGCCCTGTGAGGTGATGATTAGTAAGCCCACTTTACAAATGGGGACACTGAAGCACAGAGAAGTTAATGACTTGACCAAGATCACACAGCTGGAATTGGGCAAAACTGGAATCTACTCCAGATGTAGCTGACCCCAGACCTCAGTCTCTATTCCAGACAGCCTCTTTCTGGCTTCCTGAACTGCACACCTCATCTTCCCAGAGAGGGCAAGAAATGTGCTCCAGGTGTCAGAGTTCAACATATTCAGAGCTGGGTCTTGATCTATATTGCTCAATATAGCAGCCACGAGCCACATGTGACCACTTAATTACAACTTTTAAAAAATTCAGAATTTGATCCCACAGTTGCACTAACCACAGTCACAGTGCTGAACGGCCACATCTGGCCAGGGCTGTTTTGGACAATGCAAAAACAGAACTTTCCATGGCAGAAATCTCTTATCGGACAGCACCGATCTAGAACTTGGTCTCTTGACCCTCGGCCCAGTGTTTCCCCACTGTCAGAGGCTGTTAGAAATTAGATTTGCCTGATCAATGAAATGGATGGAAGTAGAGACAGGAACAGGGCAGCTAAAGTTATGCAAGGGAGACAGCAAGCTCAGAAAGGCTTGAACGAGGGAAGCTTAAGTCGACATCTTGTACAGAATAAAAGACATGGGAACCATGGGCTGGGGACCCACCTTGCCAGCAAGGAACCCACCTGTATGTCTAATTACAGGGACCTTCTGCTAGCCACAGGCTTCCCTGGTGGCTCAGATGGTAAAGAATCTGCCTGTGATGCAGAGACCCAGGTTCCATCCCTGGGTCAGGAAGATCCCCTGGAGAAGGATTAGATGGAAGACATGGATTAAATTCTCATCCCACCTCTCAGCAGCTGAGTGGGCTTTAGAAACCCCTTGCACCAAGTCACTTCAGCCGTTGTCGGTCTCCTGCTGCCCCTATGGACTACAGTCCGCCAGGCTCCTCTGTCCACAGGAGTTTCCAGGCAAGAATACTGGAGTGGGTTGCCATTTCCTTCTCCAGGGGATCTTCCCAACCCAGGCATTGAACCTGTGTCTCTTATGTCTCCTGCACTGGCACTAGCGCTGGTTCTTTTACCACTCGCGCAACCCCTCTGAGCTTCAACTTCCTGTCAATAAAAAGTGGGCGACTTTACCACCTTCTCCAGCAACTCTGCAAGGCTCAAATCACCCTGCATGTCTGTTAGGTGCTTAGTAGTGTTCGACTCTTTGCAACCCCACGGACGGTTGGCAGCCAGGCTCCTCTGTCCACAGAATTCTCCAGGCAAGAACACTGGAGTGGGTTGCCACACCTACTGAGCCACCAGCAAAGTCCCCAAATCACCCTAATGATACTGATAATGACGACTGCCAATTAGTGAGAACGTTTTAAACAATGTAGCTCATCACCGACAGTAGGGCCCATATTCAGCACTCAATGAAAATCTCGTGGATGTTGAATGTACCATGTAAACATTTTACGTAACAGTAATAGCAGTAATAATCATCATAATAAATTATTAAGGAGTGAGTGCCTTACTACTGTCGTGAGCCTGTAGAATGCATGTTAGTCAATTCTCCCACTGACCTGAGGGGTAAGCATCATTATTATCTCTATTTAAGTGGTAAGAACACTGGAGAAGACTTCCCTTGTGGTCCAGCGGTGAAGACTTTGCGTTCCAGTGCAAGGGGTGCAGGTTTGATCCCTGGTCAGGGAGCCACATGCTTCGTGGCCAAAAAACCAAAACATAAAACAGAAGCAATACCATAACAAATTCAAAGAAGACATTAAACATGGTCCACATCAACAACAACAGCAAAAATCTTAAAAAAAAAAAAAATAAGGACACTGAGACATGGAGAGGTTAAGTCATTCATTTAAGGACACAGCCAAGAGAGCAGAACAAAAGAGGGGGATAGGGTTTAAATGCAGGTCTGTCTGAATTTAAAATCTATTGCATCTCAAATTCAATAAGCGTTTTGCAGACAACAAAGGACTGTACAAATTTGATTTTCAGTGTCATCGCTGTGTTAGGATTAATGGTGACAGTGACTCAGGGCACAAGGGGAGAGGACCTTCCTATAGTCAGGCTGTCTGTCTGTCAATGCAAGGAACTGCTCTGAGAGGGTGTGAGCTCCCTTCACCATCACCTGAGGGAGACTGGACTGGGAGCTCTGAGGCTTTGGTCTCCAGATGGGAGCCTGGGTCAGCACCACGAACCTTAAATGTGGTCAAACAACAGAATCATCTGGGGAGCTCGTGAAACAGTAGATTTCCAGGTTCCATTGAGGTTTTTAATTGAGTGGCTCAGGATCTTAGTTCCAGATGGAAGCACATGGGCAGAGCAGGTGAGGAATCACTGGGCCAGGGAAACGCTGAGTAGCCTCTTTACCCAGAAGGATCCTAGAAGCCACGGGAGCCACCGAAGAAACCCATCATATGCTCTCCAGAAGCGTGCGATCACTGATGACAGAACCTTGCTCTGTGCCAAACACCACACCCATAGGCCCACAGACTCCTTCTCCTAGGCGCCCCCTCTCCAGGTTCCCGTCTCCTCTTTCCCTTTTCCAGCTCAGCGGCCCCTCCTCCAGGAAGCCTCCCCTGATTCCCAGAACTAGGGACCCCCCCCCCACCGCTTTGGGCTTTCCCCATCACCAGATTTTCATTTGCAGACATGTGTGTTCACATCCACCCCCACCACCCCAGGCTGTGATGGGGCTGGTGGTGGCTCGCTCAAGTCTGTGTGCCCAGGACCTAGGTCCAGTGTAGACGCTCACCAAGCATCTGCAGAGAGGGACCTGCTCTGTTCCACAAAGGATGGGGCAGAGGAGGCAGCGAGGGAAGTAACCACTGCAGGAAGGAAGTAATCCAGGTCACCAGGTTCGGAGGGAACAGGACCTGCAAATTCTCCCTGCCACTGTTCAGAAGCAGCCCGGTCTATTTATAGCTCGCAAGCCTTCTGCTTCTCGCATTTAAATGCCGGGCCAGGCATGGAATAAAATCCTGGGTAGGTCTGTCAGTTTTTAAATTTATTTTATTTTAACAAGAACAGGAGCGGAAAGCAGGGACAAAAATGAACCAGGGCTATTAGGGTGAGCTGCCTGCTGCTGTCTCGGGTCCTTCCTTGGCAAGCCTGATGTAGTTTTAGACCTGATCCTCGAAATCAGTGCCCCTGTAGAGTCCAGCCTGTGAAGGTGCTTTTAAGGTGATTGTTAAATAGTGGCTTTGGTTTACAAAACAGTATCACAAGCATGACCCTGCCTTGGTTTAACACGCATTTCTGCACACACTCATTGTATGCATGCTCACGCATACACACACACACACAACTGGAGAGAAACAAGCCCCAATGGTTAAACATTCTGCTCTTGGATTATAGAACTGGAGTCATTTTAATTTTCTTTCTGTGTGCTTTCTCTGCATTTTCCCAAAGTTTGGGTACACAGAGCATAGACTGAGGAGGTTGGGCTCGAGGAAACTGGTTCTGCCGTTTGCGAGCCGGGTGACCCTAGGAGAGGTCCTTCATTTAGTCATCTGTAACATGGGAATAACAACAGGACCCCCCTGCAAAGGTTCATTCTGAGCACTGTCCAAAATAACATGCATGAAGTCTTAGCACAGCGCTGGGAACATGGCGTGTGCTCAGAAAACACAAGCTAGAATGACTCTATAAGCAGCATTTGTAACTTGTGAAAGTGCAAGATGGTTTTAAGAAACCAAAATGACAGGGAGTGACTCTTGCAGCTCGTGAAGGGACTAGACTACAGCCAGGGGAGGGGATACCCGGAGGCCTGGGTCCCAAACCCAACTGGCAGGAAATGCACAAAAGGACCCTTCCCTCTCCTTTCAATCTCACTTTTCTGACGTTGAAAAGGATGGTGCTGACGGGTGGATGGTAAGTACCACCCCTCTAGGCAGGGGCCCAAGAGGATGATGACACAGCTCTGGTCTTCAAGAACGGCCGGGTCCTGGACACAGCTCCAGAGCCTTTCCCGACCTGCCCACCCCTCTTTCCTGGCCCCACCTCTTCCCCACACTTCTCTTTTTCTAAATTTTTATTGGAATAGACTTGATTTACAAGGTTGTGTTAGTTTCAGGTGTGTCAGTTTGCTAACTGTGTCAGCAAAGTGAGTCAGTTACACATATCCACACATCCATTCTTTTTTAGATTCTTTTCCCATATAGGTCATCACAGAGTATTGAGCAGAGTTCCCTGTGTGATACAGTGCTGTGCGCTTAGTCACTCAGTCGTGTCCAACTCTTTGCGACCCCATGGACTGTAGCCCGCCAGGCTCCTCTGTCCATGGGGATTCGCCAGACAAGAATCCTGGAGTAGGTTCCCATGCCCTCCTCCCGGGGATCTTCCCCACCCAGGGATGGAACCCAGGTCTCCAGCACTGCAGGCAGATTCTTTACTCTCTGAGAGAGCAGGGAAGCCCGTGCTATCCAGTGAGTCCTTACCCACTTTACGTATAAAATAGTGTATATATGTCAACCCTAATCTTCTAATTTATCCCTCTCCCCCGACCTCCCAGTAACCATGTTTGTTTTCTACAGCTTGGATTCTATTTCTTTTCTTTTTTTTAAAAATAATTTATTTATCTATTTTTGGCTGCAGTGCGTTTTTGTTGCTGCGCGGGCTTTTCTCTAGTTGTGGCAAGTGGAGGATACTCTCTGGTTGCAGTCTGCGGGCTTCTCATTGCGGGGGCTTCTCTTGTTTTGGAGCACAGGCTCTAGGGCGGGCAGAATTCAGTAGTTGCGGCTCCTGAGATCTAGAGCACAGGCTCAATAGTTGTGGTGTACGGGCTTAGTTGCTCTGAGGCACGTGGGATCTTCCCAGACCAGGGATCGAACCCATGTCTCCTGCACTGGCAGGCAGATTCTTTACCACTGAGCCAACCAGGGAGCCCTTCTATTTCTGTTCTGTAGACCCACACCTGTCTCTTAATGCACACACCCACAAGGTACCAATAAAGCTCAGGGTGCTCCTTCCTGACCACACAGGACCCCCAGTGGCCTATAGCACCCCCCCCCGCCCCCCACTCCACCCTGGCAAACAGCTCCTCACCCTTCTAGGCTCTACTGAGCACCCCCTGCTCAACGGGGTCACCCAGTTACCTGCTCTGCTTGTCTCTCCTCTTTGGCTGAGGGAGGCCCCCGTCTTACTCGGCATCTACCTCCACACCCACCACATCGGAGCGGGGGGTCAGTAAATATGCTGAGTGCATAAATCACGCTTTTTAAAACAAGAAAGGGCAGGGCAGAGCAGTGGTTTAGGCCTACAGATTCACGGGTCAGGCAGACCTGCATTTCACCTTACTGTTGAACGACCCTGGGCCAAAGATAAGCCTCTCTTCTCAGAGCCTCAGTTTCCTCATCTGTACAATGGGCATGACAACTGTATCTCCCCCCCCCCCCCACTTCATATCCTGGAGGGGGTTTCAATAGGCTAATGCAGATAAAGAGCTTAGAATACTTGGCATGTAAGAAACACAAAGTAAACATTTGCTATCAGGATGAGGACGATTATTGAAAATGTAAAATGACTACCTTGGGACCTTGGAGTCTCAGCAGTTTCCCTTCTGGTCTTGCTCTGGGACCCTCTCTGGTTCAGGTCCAGGGAGCACTTTGGACCACTGAACAAGGTGCTCCTGCACAAAGGTGCCCAATTGAGGTGGGCAGAAATACAGCCTGTTTTCAGTGGCCAGGCAGCACACCCCACAGGTGCTGGAGAAGGGGAAGCCTTCTTCTAATTCATCCTCCTACAGCAGCAGTCCAACTTTTTTGGCACCAGGAACTGGTTTCATGGAATACAATTTTCCACAGACCGGGGTAGAAGGGATGGTTTCAGGATGATTCAAGTGCATTATATTTATTATGCACTTTACTTCTATTACTACATCAGCTCCACCTCAGATTATCAGGCCTTAGATCCCAGAGGTTGGGGAGCCCGTCCTACAGGAGGCACTATTTTTTTTGTATTTTGGTTGCTCGATGTCTCAGTTGAGGCACTTGGGATCTTCAATTTTCTCTGTGGCGTGTAGGATCTAGTTCCCTGACCAGCGATCAACTCCAGGACCTCTGCATTAGGAACCTGAGCCACTGGACCACCAGGGAAGTCACAGGAGGCAGTACTATGTTAAATTCAATCACCTGGAATGGGGGGTGGCGGTGTCTTTGTCTACCTGGTACAAGCATGCTGTGCAAACCATGTCTGTGCACCCGGGCCCACG